CAGGAAAGTTGAGGCGCAGCGGGGTGTAAAGGGGGCAGGTGAGCAGCATGTGGGGGTCATCTTCAATGCCGTCGTGGCAGTGCAGGCAGACTCGCTGCTCTCGGGGGCGCCGCGTCCAGCGGCCGGTCTCTTCCGCGCCCCAATGCGACCCGCTGCGCAGCTGCGCCAGCGCCTCACGGTCCTGCCGACGCCGTACTGCATCCAGCTAGGTCGAGCGCTGCCCAAACATGCCGGGCGCCAGATTGAGGGCGCCCACCACATTGTGCCCATAGTGCTCCAGCCGGCTGGCGCCGCCCTTCGCCAGCGCCTCCTGGAGCTGCGCCAGCTGGCGGCCCTCAGCAGCTTCCCCCACCTCGCGGAGCTCAACAGGCGCTGGCGCCACATCTCAAGAAAAGATTTCAACTTCATGTTACTTGTGTACATGCGCTTCTCATTAGTGCCATCCTTCAACCGGCGCAGCAAGAATGCAGAGGCCTAGGCGGGGAAAATGGCAGCAGAAGCAGCGCCCTGCTGAGCTTGCCGTAGTGCGTTGTCCTTACTTCGAAGAATTCTGACGAGGGGAGGGTCTGGGTCGTGGGCTGCAAAGTGTTTGGACAGCAGACATATTCGGTATGCAGGTAGAGAGTTGTGTGATCATCGTCGTGTATGCGGGACCTCCAGCTATGCACAATTAATCAACCATTGCAACGTACCTGGGCGGCTTGGGGCGTGGCGGAGGCCGAGGCGGTTTGGGGCTGCAACCAACGGCAAGCACAAGAGCTGTTGCTGGCATGCACAGCTGTATTTGATGCAATGCAGTGGATCACGGCCCCCAGCGCAGGCAAGGTGCCGTATTGCAGCATACCTGGGTGGCTTCGGGCGTGGTGGAGGCCGAGGCGGTTTAGGGCTGCAACCAAAGGCAAGCACAAACACGGTTGCTGTGTTGCCAGCTGTATTTGATGCAATGCAGTGGATCACGGCCCGCAGCGCTGGCAAGGTGCCGTATTGCAGCATACCTGGGTGGCTTCGGGCGTGGTGGAGGCCGAGGCGGTTTAGGGCTGCAGCCAAAGGCAAGCACAAACACGGTTGCTGTGTTGCACAGATGCATCTTGAGGCATTCCGATGTATCACGCCACCCACCACAAGAGGGTGCCGGACTGCAGCGCACCTGGGCGGCTTGGGGCGTGGCGGAGGCCGAGGCGGTTTGGGACTGCATCCAACGGCAACCACAAGCGCGGATGCTTTAATGCACAGATGCATCTTAAACCAGTGCAATGCATCACGCCCGTCAGCACAGGCAAGGTGCCAGACTGCAGCGCACCTAGGTGGTTTTGGTGGCCGTGGGCGTGGTGGCGGGTGTGGCGGGCGCGGACGTGGCGGCGGCTTCGGCGGGGTTGGGGGGGTTGGTGGAGGGGGAGGGGCGGGAAGTCTGATTGATTTGGTGGAGTTGGTTGCGTCTGAAACGCTCACGCCATCAATGTCCACGAAAGATGAGCTGCAGGCGGTGAGGAGCAGAGGGCCAGCACAGACGGATGATGGTGTATGGACATGTTGCTGGTTGCTGCTGCTATGTGTGGGCGGAGCAAAAGTTGCGGTGGCTGCTGCACATCTGCACGCACGCCACTCACAGCACTGAGCGCAGCAGCGAGTTCAAGATGGGCAGCGTGGAGGTCTTGAACACGCGCAGCTGTTGCTGCAGAGTGCATGGGCAGGGAATGCAAGCTGACGTGTCGGGAGCTGCAGCACGAGACCAGCGCCCATGCTGCCATCCTCGCCATGCATACATATGAGTGGCTATGCAAGCAAGCTCCTCTCAGCAGCACCCCCCACCGGCAACCCCCCCCCCCCCCCAATCTGCACGTGCCTGGACGGGAGGGTCCCCCGTCTCTCCCAGGATCGTCACCCTCCTGCCCACATCGATGCCTGCACAGCAGGGGGGGAGGGGGTGCACCCATGGGGGCATGGGCCATGCGGGTCGGGCTTGAAATGCTTGGGCTGGAGCAGCGTGCTGGAGGACACGCAGTGCGGGTCAGCTCATCAGCTTGTGGCAAGTTGCCTCGAGGTGGAGATGCACCTGGGAGTTGGTTGAGCCGGCGCAGGCCAGCCGTCAAAACGTAGCCCGTTGGAGTTACGCTGATCACGTCGGTGCTGCTGGGGGCTGCGCAGGGTAGCAGGAGGCAACCCCAGGTTGCAACAATTGGCAGCGCTCCAGACTGACACACTGTTGGACAGTGTTGCATTGCAGACTAGCATCTCAAGTGCATCTAGCATCTGCAGTGTTGCAGCTGCCGCAGCAGGACATGCCTGCAGGCACCTTGGCCATACCCAGGCCCACTCACCAGCAATGGCGTTGTTGATGACGGTTTCGTACGCCGCCTGAAAAACAGCAGGATGGGGAGTTGGGAGGGAGCTCCTCGCGAGGAGCCACAGCACCAGCTGGCCACACATGTCTATCAGTGCCCACCCACCCGCACGACCGTGGAGAACAGGGTCGTCGTGAGGCCCTGCAGCGTGGTGGTGAAGTCGATGACCGGCACCTCCACATCCTTGCCTGTCTCGGTACTGCACCATGGAGTCAATGTCCCAGCATGTGCAATGCCTTCTGTGCAGCGATGCCCCTGGCAATACCCGACAACTCAGCAAGGCGTGCACGGCAAGAAGACAAGTGGCCCAGCCGCTTAGGCGGCGCACCCGGTGCAGTTGCTCTGCGCCAGGCTGTCCCGCACGGGGGTGGCCTGGGAGCAGTCCTTGCGGTTGTCAGCAGACCTGCACGCACAAACAGCAGGGGCATTGGGCAGGCTCTCCCCGCCCATCTCCTGCTGCAGCAGACGTGTGACAGCCATTATTAGGGCCAGCTGCACCGCGCCTGGCGGCGCAGCTGGCAGCGCAGCTGCTGGACACATCAGCGCGCCGACCAACTCCAGCAAACCAAGCCGCACTCACAGGCACAGCAGCCAAAAGTCGCAGGTGAATTCCGCGCGGCACGCCAGCTTGCAGGCGCAGGCGGTGCCGTTGGTATGGTTGGAATTGGCGTTGTAGGCAGTGAAGCGGTAGGGCAGCGGGCGGGCGGGGGACACATCCTGGTAGAACACGCACACATCGCCTGCAGAGGAATATGGGGCGGAGTACTCAACATTGCACTCTCGGCATTGCTGCTGCTTTGGTCGGACCATCCGTGCCAGCTGACCAGACAGCAAGTAAAGCTGAACATGGGGCGCGTCGGCAGCGGGCACAACAGCAGCCATGGGCACAATAGCATTGCTGTGCAACAGTGTGGCGCACCAGTCGTTGGCACCGTTTGAAAGAAGGGCAGCGGCACCAGCGGCGGCGGCGGCGGGCTGCATTGCAGAGCAGAGGTTGTTGAGATGCATGCAGGAGGCCTAGTTGAGGTGCAACTGGCATGGCGCCTCCCCTCTGACCTTCACCATGCGCAGTCTGCAATGCACCCAACACTATTGCTATGTCTGCTCCGCCATCACCTCTGGCAGGGGTCCACCCCGCTGCCGTCCAGCGTCACAGCCAGGTCCACGCAAGTGACGCGTTTCATGGCAGTCGGGCAGAATTTCCAGCCTCTGCAGGCCTCGTCGTCGTGGCACGATGAGAAGCTGCACTAGCCACGGCACAGGCGGTCGGCAGATGAGGTGGTGCAATGCACGGTGAGCACAGCTAGAGTGGCCGTACTGAGCACTGGCATACACACGTGCATAAGCAGGACCAGGGCTGCAAGGGCGAATTCCCAAACGAAACGCACCAGGAGCAGGGATTGGTTTCATTGACAGACTGGTCAAACGCCGCCAGCGGCGAGCTTGCGGTGGGCTTGGCGTACTTGAGGCACACATCGCCCGCAGGAATGAGCGCCGCCACGGTTGCCAGCGGCGGCGGCGGCGGGGGAGCAGGCGATGGTGGGGGCGGGCTTGGAGGCGGGCTAGGTGGTGGTGGGGGCGGAGGAGGTGGCGGTGGGGGGCTGGGTGGCGGCGGGGGGCTTGGGGGGTAGGTGGTTGGGTCGTACCAAGTGGACTCGCCTCCCCAGATCTGGTACTCGCCCATCTGCTCCTCGCTGAGCACGACAGGGTACACCAGGAATGCGTCCTTGAGGCAGCAGGTGCCGTTCCTGCCCACGCCCACGCGGTTCTCCTCCTGGTAGTTCCAGACCTGGCAGCGCGGCAGCTGGCCCTGGCACCGCGTGCAGCACTCCCCTGCGCCCACGCACGCACCAGGGACATGCCGCTGTCAGCCCAGGGCGAGGCCGCTCACGCACCTCCGCCGTCCCACTGGTCTCAATGGCCAGCTGCTGGCGGTTTCGGCAATGCCATGCTCACCTGGGCTGGCAGCTGGGGCACAGTCGTACCCGTCAGAAAGGGCCGAGTGGTCGGCACCATAGGTGCCCAGGCACAATGGACCTGCAGGTTCGAGTTGGGTGCGTTTGGGGTGGTGAGGCGGGCGAACAGTGCACCATGTGGGGCCATGCTTTGGGGGGTGCCCATTCCTGGAGCTGGGCAGCTGATGCACCTGTTGAGGAGATGGGCGGGTAGGAGAACACTGTGTTGCTGGAGCGGTTGAAGGGGAGAGAGGGGCTGTGCACTGTGTCCTTTAACAGGCAGCTATACTGCTCCTCGCTCCCCGGCATCACGTAGGCAACCCAGCCCAGGCAGCGTGGCGCACTGGAGCACTCGGCGTGGCAGTCCTCCAGCGTAGGGGCCGTGGTGCCTGCAGGTGAGGGCAGGAGCAGCCAATTCACTTGTAGTTGCAGCCTTAGGGACATGGTGCGGCGGCGCCGGGCTCAAAGCTCACTCATGATGGTGCTTGTTGGATAGTCGATGCCAGTCTGGAAGTCGAAGGGGCCCGGCCGTTGGCCAGTAGGGGGCCTGCGCACGCAGAGGGGCGCATGCACGCAGGTCACTGTGCAGTGGGCAGAGCACCATGGGAAGGTTGTGTACAGCACAGCAAATGCAACTGTCCCATCGTACTTCGTGGCACCGAACACTTGAACCTCGCAGAGGGTGAGGATTGAATCGGCGGCGGCGTTGACAATCTGCCGGGAGCCAGGGAGTGCACATCAGAATGGTAAGTGACACTATAGCGGTGGCAAGAGCCAGCAAGAAGCTCCTGCTTGCTTGTGTGGGCTTAAAGTCTGGTAAAGCAAGAACTAGCTTGCAACATAGACTCCCCGCCGAAACGGGACGGGAACCGGGCGAAAGCAGAGAAAGCAATAAAACAGGGGTGGAGCAAGGCGACATGCAACGCAAGCAGCTGACAGGGCACGCATCGAAACGTGTGTATGACTGGCAAAGTGGCATGGCGCATTGGGGAGAAACGCAACGGTACGGGAGCATGGGCTGGCCAAACGGCAGTGCGGAACGCTAGGTCACTAGAAAAGCAGGGAAAGGCGCACTATGTATGCAATGAGGGCAGCCCCGGCTCGGGGCCGTTGAGAAAGCAGTGGGCGGGAGGGGGGAGGCCCCGGTGTGGGCGGGCCCCATCGAGGGGGGATGGGGCGCGCAAGCGGCCAGATGGGGCGGGGCGCGGGCGGCAGTGGAGTCCTGCGGCTGGGTGGGATATAGGGCAATGAGCGTTGAGCAGTGTCCGATGAGCAATGAGCAATGAGCAGTGAGCAGCCCCTCCCTAAACAAAGTGAAGCGCAGGACAGGGTCCGGTGGATGGGAGGCAAGGAAACGCGGGGGGTTGCCACGTGCGCTACCGCCGCCGCCGCAGGCAGCACCCCTGCGGCGGCGGCAGCGGCAGCAAGCCGTGGACCCAAACGCCGTGCCGCCGCCGCCGCAGGCAGCACCCCTGCGACGGCGGCGGCAGCAAGCCGTGGACCGAAACGCCGTGCCGCCGAGTCCCGTGGCTGTGGCCGTGGGCTTCTGGCAGGAAACTACGGCCGCAACTCGGCAGCACGGGGGCGTCGCAGCGTGCCCCCGCCGCCGCCGCGCTGCCCCCCGGGCACGGCGGCGGCGGCAGCAAGCTTGGGCCCAAACGCCGTGCCGCCGAGTCCCGTGGCTGCGACCGTAGACCGTGGGCCGGAAACTGCGGCCGCAGCTCGGCGGCACGTGGTTCTGTTCAAATCGCCAAGCGTGCAGCAGCGCCGAACCACGCTTCCCGGCCTCGGCGCATGCCTTCAGGGGCCCCCTATCGCTGGGCACACCCCTCCAACACCGAACATGCGCCCGGGGGGGAGGGCGGCCCGGGCTGCCCAGGCCAAAGTGGGCCGCCCTCGAGCAAGAGGCGGCCGGTCTGTGTGCTGAATGAATGAATGGATGCGTACTGCTCGCAACTGATGGACCTTGGCCAAGGCCATGGCCTGCAACCGACCTGGATGCTGACAAAGCGCCCCTGCAGTGGCCCGCTCTGGCAATCGTAAGTTGCTGAGCCATCCTCGCCGGCAGTCATGTCACAGGTGTTCTGCAGCGGGACAGGGCAGACCAGCACATGTGCTGCTGTTATGGAGCTCCTGCGGTTATCCCACCAGCATGCCTTGACGGGCAACACAGTGCCAAAGCATACTGGCATTGCCCACACCATACACATACTGAGTAAGCCGCTCCTGGGCTGCCGTTACACACACCTGTGAGCCTACTTTTTTGTAGCATAGCGTTGCATTTGTGAGCGTGGGGTCCTGCCTGCCCACGAGGAAGGGCCGGGTGCGTGAGATGTGGATCTCAAAATCCGTCAGCCTCGCCATAACTGCAGGTCAACAAGTGGCGAGGCGCACGGGTTTTAGCGAGGAGGACCAGCTGGCACGCCAGGCTAGATGCCGTCGTACAGGCCCAGCACAGATGTGATGCTGTGCAGGCTGGCCTGCTTGCCGTTGGGGTTGTCGCAGCGATTTACGATGCGCACAGATGACACTGCGGCCAGCTGACCCAAGTCCACGTACCACCTGAACCAGGGCGGAGGGTCAGGGGAAGATGTCACAAAAACCTCTCTAGCATAGCTGGATAATTGCACTCACGTTTGCTGCCCACAGGCTATGCATATACATCATTATCCATTGCTTGGCATGATGCATTGTCCATTGCTTGGTATGATGCACTCAACCGCCCCTGTATCACACTCACCAGGGACGCGCCTCTGCCACTGAATGGGTGCAACCTTCCTTTGTTGGGATGTCGATCAATGGGCTGAGATTGCCATCTACTGCCCGGCTGGGGACTGTCAGCTCATAACGGGAAGATGAGCCATTGCACGGCTTGCCCTGCGAGCAGGTACAACAAACATACTGGAGCAACATTGAATGTGCTGCGCAGGGCTGCCGCTGGACAGCACTTGTGGGCATTCATAGCAGGGGCCAGCACTCGTGGGCATTCACAGCAACATCATGCTTTCGGCAGTCATGCAGCTAGGCTTCCCACCCTGGCGAGTTCGGTGAGGCCAAGTGGGGCAGGGGTGGGGGAAGGCAGGCTGCACAGTGCAGCAGTCGATGGTTTGGCATGCAATGCAGGTTGCTCAACACGGTGTCAGCTAAAACAGACGGGCATGCGCGCGAAGCCCATGCACGCACCCCCCAAAGATGCAAACATTACAGGCCAGTTGCCACGGCATCCATCCACCCACCTGGCGCCCCAAACTGACACTTCACAAAGCGTAAGGATGCCTGTGCCATTGATCTGTGGGGGAGCAAGGGTTGGCCAGCCGCACTGTCTGTCTGTCTGTCTGTCTGTTACACCCATAAGGAGCAAATGAATGCTACGGGCCCAGCTGTGGTGCCAAACAGCTGGAAAAGTATGCACCAACACAAAACACATGAGGGAAGAGATTCAGGTATGGGGGGTAGAGCTGTACACAACATTGCAGCAAATACAAAACCCACCCAAAATTATAAGCTGCATGCCCCAAGCAATACACACGGTGGGCATCTGCATAAAGATAGCAAGAGGCATTTAATGAAGCGCCGGATAAGCTCAACCCCGGGCCAGCCGAGCCGACCGCCTGGGCAGGGCCGTCAAGACGTGCCCAGGGGCCACCTCGACTGGGGATGGGGCACGAGATGAGGGTGTGGAGGTGGCGGCCTCCGCCTGGTGCCTCGCCGCCGTCTCCCGCCGCTGGCGTCGCCGCCGCGCAGT